TCCCAGAATGAAACAAAAGAGCAACTAAAATAAATTGAATATAGCATTGCAGTTACACTACATGATCCTAAATGTACAGGAGTAACACCAAAAAATGGAACGGTAGAAGAAAAGAACTGACCATAAGATCCTATTAGCAGTGGAGGGTAAACAAACAGCAGTGTCCCACCTTAGAAGATCCTAAAAGCAAAGAAGCCACGCGTGGAGGGAATGAACTGAAGATGACAAACACCCCAATATAGAGGGAAGGAGAGGGATGTATTCTACGAAAATCCCTAAATATAAGTGGAACACTGAAGAAAGAAGGTGGGAGGTAAACATTAACTGTAGAAGTGTCGATATGTAAAAAGCTAAAAAACTAGGAAGGGAATAGAATGGATAGGAGTAACAGAGATACAAATGACAAAATCAGGAAGGAAATCTGCCTGATAGTAAGCAAAGGCAAAAAGAATTAAAGCCTGTATAGGGCATGGCTTGCAAGTACCAAAATTATTATCATGAAACATATGAGAAGGGGAATATACTGTGAAACGTGTCTATAAAACCGAGATAGTCCTAGCAGATTATGCAGTAGAGGCCTGGAAGGTAAGGGAAAATTGACAAAATCTAGGTCGTCTGAAAATGGGTTCAGCTGTTATAGGAGGAATTATAGGAGCTGTTATGTGAGCAATATTGGAAGCAGATAGGGTAGACCCCGGCCGTCAGGGGTCCTCACAAACGAAATCAATGGTAAGAAGTATAAACTATAAAGAAAGACGAAAATGAAATTGTCGATATAGTGGACATGTTAAGAAATTTTGTGGTGAAATAAACATGTATGTGATGTTGTGTTGTAGAGAAGATATCTAACCTGATTATCGATTAACCTGTAAATAGAACCATGGGTAAACGGAAAACAAGGTATTTAACCTAATTATCCATTAACCCGAAGTAGAACTGCAGGTAAATTGAAAATAAACTTGTGAAGCCTAATCTAACAGTACAGAACAAAAGATATCACTACGCACTAAAATTACGGATTACCGACAGATGCCACTGCAGGGCAAAGACAAGGTATCACTCGACAACTACATAGTGTCATAAATAAACATACTTTGAAACAAACAATACACGCACGTTAGAGTTGACCTAGGTCAAGTCCAAAGAGGAGAACCATAAGATCACGGTGAGCCAGTTTGAGTACAGTAACTATAATTAACTAGATAAAGCGCTGACGTAGCTTCGGCAGCTAGGGAAACATGGAAAAAATCGCTGTTACATGAAGAAAACAGCCAAATTAGATTGTCAAAACAACGAAATTTGATATTAATTTTGTGTTTTTGAACACTTCCCTACCCTCACGTGAAAATTTGATGTTGATATTGGCTATAAACTCTCTCTCTCTGGATCGGAATTTAGGTCTTTTTTGACCTGGGAGGGTCAGGTTCTAGTAGACCTCTTCCTCCCACCTGTGCTGTTGTTATATTATCTTCTCGGGTTTTGGTTGGCTGGTTTGATTGTTTGAATTCTATTATAACTTTCCCTTTCGGGAACATGTCCGTTTTATGTTGTCAAGTTGTATATGTGTGTGGTCTTATGTTTACTCGGTATTTGTGTTCTGTAATGTTTGTGGTAATAAGAGTAATTATACTATGTGTGGTAATATTGGCAGTAGTTGTTCTAGCGCTATTTTCATGATTAGTGTGATGCAATCCTCTTGGTTTTGGGGTTGTTGTATTTTGCCAGAAATTCGTAGAATATGTTAGTCACTGACTCTGTTATTTTGTTTATTTCCTGTTGTTGTGTTTGAGCATTAATGGGTTTAGTGTTCTTAACTTTACTTTGTAGAAGCTGCAGTTCAAACTCACCGCCACGATGACGTTTATCGTTTACTATATATTGTTGCAAGATGCGAGTGACGTAACAATATATATATATATATATATATATATATATATATA